TATGTCAACCATTTGACCAATGAGTAATGTTTTGTGTGTGTATGTTTTATTAATTCTTTTTTTAAACACCACATGTGAATAATGGCCGGGTTTTAAGTTATTTCTCATTTTGTTCACACAGGGTGCAGTTGCTGCTTTCCACTCCTGTTTTCCATCCAGGCGCTGCTCCCTCTGTGACTATGTACCCCTGGTTTTCTATAACTCAAATCATATAATGCTAATTCTTTTGTAGTTTCAGACTATTTTCATCAGTGCTATTTTTAAGTCACGGAAAGAAAGCAATGTCTTTGTTTTTGTAAGATCAGATTAAAGTAAATACTGGCGCTTGCTGTGTCAGTCTCAATGCACCAAAAAGGAACAAAAACTCTAAGAAATAAAATTGTACACTTAAAACTATACCATAAATACCATTATCAACCATTATAGCATGTGGTTCAGTCATACACTTTGAAGCAATTTGACTATAAATACATATTTTGTCAGAAGGGAAGCTGTCTCAAATTCAAATTTGGTTATGATTTGGATTCTAGTACTTCAGGATTCTTCAGAATGAAAAAAATATCAAGGAAAATCTGTTTGAAAAATCAGTCATAAATAACATACAGCTTCACCTTTGTTTTAATAATAGACTGATATTACTATCTAATCAGAGATGGAACTTTAATATTACCAAACATTTAATTTCAATTGAATAATAATGGTTCTAAGAGAAATGTCCATTATCATTACCGCGTATTCCCTAATGGGGTCGCGGGGGGACCTGGAGCCTATCCCAGTGGTCAACGGGCGAGGACAGTCTGCCAGTCCATCGCAGGGCCACACACAAGACATACAAGGACAAACAACCACACACAATGGCCTTTCATTTGGAATGTCCAATCAACATGCAGGTTTTTTGACTGTGGGAGGAAGCAGGAGAACCCGGAGAGAACCCATGCAGACACAGGGAGAACATGTAAACTTGCAGGCTCCTCCCAGGGGGGTGCTGGGGGTGCTGGGTCCCCTAGGACTCAAACCCAGAACCATCTTGCTGGGAGGCAACTGTGCTAACCACTACACCACCGTGCCGCCCCATATCCGTGAGCAAAATATTCAAATTTGATCTAATTTGTTTTCTGTTCCAAACTGAAGTAAGACTGTTACTTGTCAATAAGTTGATCCAAAAAAAAAGGTAAACCCTCGCACACACTCAAACATACAGGAACTGAAGTCAACCGCCAGAGGGAGCAGCTCACCACAGCAAAGCACAGCTTTATTTTTATTTTTTCTAATTAATTCACTATCATAACTGTTTTCAGTGTGCACTCATCATCCATCATAGGAATCACGGAGATTACCTTATCAGACCCCTATATACTGCATTAAGTTAATGTTCTTTAGTCTAAAGACAGCAGTGATCTCTAAAAATAACACTTTTGCACTTTGCATCCTCCAGCAGAAAACAGACATCACTGAGAAGATAAAACAAGCTTTGGTTAAATATTTCTGTCATAAAAACAAGTGTTAGTCGCAGAAACTTTAGTTTAAACATGCGAGTCTCTTTGTCATGTTCATAGAAGGAAAAAATTAACTATTTTACTTTCACTTTCGAAGAGAAACCTCAGTTTGTTAATTCGACCTGGATTTAAGTGACGTTGTTGCTCATTGTAAATTTCTATTGGCTCAGATTAAGTCTGACGTGAACGTTCCTCTTGTTTTACCCCTTCATCCCAATATTTCATTTAGACACTGTTGCTGGAACCTCGAAGGGTGAAGACACGTACAGCGGAGCTCGCAGAGTTTGGAAAGTGTTCACATTGTCAGAAAAGATGAAGGTCTTTATCCTCATCTGCCTCATTGGAATCCCTTGCATGGATGCTGGTGAGTGAAGGATTGTGTCTATTTATTTTTTATTCTTATTTAGTATTGTTTGTTCATTTTTTATTGTTATCAGAATATATTAGACCGCGGTTTGCACTGTCGCTTGACTCCAAAAACGTTCCTTATTTGAGTGGCGGTTTGGTTCTGAGCTCGAAAGGGCTTTGATACTGGTTCTGACCAGGATTTTAAAAAATGGAAAAAGGCATAAATTTAAGCTTTCCCTAAGCCCTAAAAGGGTATTGAATGGATCGACACAGTAGTTACTTTTAAACCTAATTTTCTATCATAGTAATATGTTCTGGGCACCAATGGTCTTTATATGACAGAGATATAGAAATTTTAGTTAACGGTTATGAACTAGTCTTAGTCTAGAGGTCGAGACGGAGTCGAACCGAGCCTATTGTGTTTAGGTATGGCGCTCTTGACACTTTTAACTCGCTTAACTGTTGTAGTGCCGATCCAATATATTTAAAAAGAAGGGTGGCTGTTGAACGGCAGGAAAAGCATTCCTACACCAGTGAGGAGGTTGGTGGCTGCGCTCCCCTGCGCCACATGCCACAATGTCACAGACAAGACGTCGAAACCCAAAATCCCTACCAGACAAAGGCACAATCTTACTGAACATTCACTGATATCCATTCAGAATATTAGGCCTTGAATGATCAAGATGTATACAAGAAGAGAAGTGACTGCGTTGCGACTATTTTGTGGTGTCTGTTATTTATCTGTTGTTGTTTTTTTTATCATAACAGTCATTTATTTCCCTCGTGGGATTAATTACTTTTTTCTGTAATCAACAACTATCTAAAATATGTACATATTCTAAAACTGGTCCTCAGAGTCGTTCATGTGGAATTATAGATCTAAGTGGTACAATATAATATCTATGATGTAAACACTATTTTGTAAAATGAAAATCTGGATGGTTAGATAACATTACAGCAGAAAACATTTAATCAAAACAATTTGAAACACAAACTAATATAGAAATATCAATGTTTTTTCTCTTTAACCCATAGTTAAAACTTAAAAAGATATATATACATGTAAAGGAGCCAGAGAGAAAGAGTGAAACACTGTTTTACTTCTGTTAACAACTGACTGTTGCATGTTGTTGTAATCGGCTACACTGAATATGCATTTCAGAATAAATGTCTGAAATTAACATTTAAAACATTCAAACCACATATAAAAACAACAAAAAAACATTGGACAATGTAAGTTTTAAGTTTTTTTTAACATTTGGACTAACTTGGAAATATGTTATTAATGATGTCTGAAATTCATATTCAGCCAACTTGAAACAATTCTGAATTTAGTTAATAGAACAGCAGATATTTTAGATTTAGTTAATACTAGTACATGTTAATTCTATACATCTGCTTCGCTGAACAGACTTCTGGGCTCTGTCTGGATTGTGCTGAGTTACTACTTTGTATAATCAGTGGCGTGGTGTGGGGAAAATTTCCGAGGCAGCCAAGTGAGACACTACCGTAATCATATATTACAATTTATATTTTGCTATTACATGTAGTTAGGTTAACTATTAGAGCACCCAGCATCATTTTACCAAACTTACACACGCTTGTTACCGTCAGACACCGAGCACGGACTCAATGTCTCTCCCCCTGGGTCGCTCACTCAAACACACACACTCAGTCCTCTTAAAAATCTGATTAATTCATGCGACAACCTTCCCAAATCACAACAAACAACTTAATATTGGAAAGATACTAATTTATTTAAACGCTCAACCAGAAGTCAATAAGTTTTACGTCCACCTCAAACTCGACCTGTGCGTCCAGGTGACCATGGGAGACACACAAATCCTTTTCATAAATGAACATTACACAACAACCCAGTACCAGGCTAGAAACAGCACACCTGACAGGTGCCTATATTCAAACAGCCCCACCCATCATGGCAGCATGAGTTGTGCTCATGTTCTCCACAATAAACAACAGTAAACAACAACTTTATGCAACTCGCGTGCTGTTTAATCAAAGCATGCAAGACACAGTAAGGGCTATAGTCACATAAAAAATTACACATACTGCTAGTTGAGCAGCTCAGTGACAAGCTGCACACAGGAAAAAGCATTCTGCTCACCCTATTTAAGGAAGAAGGCCATTCTCCGGTCTTTCATGATGGCGAAGTGATCGAATTAGAGCCAGACCTTGACTCAGACTTTTTTCTAGATCTAGAGCCTCATTAGACTCTGGTAGAATCCGGATTTTCTCCTTAACATCTGCTTTTACTTTTTCCATAATTGTGAGTCAAGTAAACCAGAAGTCCAATCTGTGAAAGTTTCTGTTGTCAATTAAATGAGATCTCTCCTCTTAAGTACTGTTGAAAAACACCTTTGCACTCATTCACGTTTATCTGTATTTTAAATCTTAGTACAGTACTTTGATTTTTTAATTTTTTTTTCAAAGGAACCACCCTTTGTGTTATCTCCTTTTGCTTTTGTGTGTTTGGAACCCGTTATTTTTTTATATGTACACAATTTGTTAAACTCTGGTATAACCCTTTAAAGCTTAATCCAAGAAAAAACCTTGAGAATATTATCACATTTTTCGTTTGAAGTCTTTATGTGTCCCTTTAACAAAACATGAAAAGAAAAACAGAATTTATCTTGGTTTATTCAACATTTATTACTGTGCGACAAGTCAAAATTATTGTAGTGTTGTATTCTGCCTACTGTTATCAGGTATTTCTAATTGTATACAACAGGGTTTTGAGCAAAGCTTTTTACCATTAAATGATGCAAAAGGTCTAAGATGCAAAACATTTCAGAAACTGTGCATATCAAATAGGATACATGTGTTGTTATAGAAGTTAAAGTTGATTTTATATATAGATTTTCTAACAATACATAGACAACTTTTTATTGCAGAGTTTTCAGGCATTTTCATTTAGGGGGACTACTGGGGTTTATTGAAAATTTGTGTATCTGTTTTCACTGTAAAACCAATAACATTATTTTTTTAGTGTGACAAATAGGTTCCAGTAGAGCAACAAAAATCATTACACCTATAGCTTTACTGTAGGGTTCATGGAAGGGAGATGGATGACATTTTTATTTTGCCCTTGAATCTTGTACTTAAAATGCATTGTCTTTTTCAATTTTCCAATTCCAGTGATGCATTCCTGGAAGGCATTCTACACTGGCAGCTCAGGTCTGAGTGAGTTTCCAGAGTTTGTGGCCTTGAATCTCCTTGATGATGAGGTGATGGGATACTTTGACAGCAAGACCAACAGATTTGAGGCCAAGAAGAGCTGGATGATGGGAACTCTGGGCCAGGAGTATGTGGAACGACAGACAAATATTCTACTAGGACACTCCCAAACTTTCAAAGGAAATGTTGGTATTCTAAAGGAGCGATTCAATCAGTCAGGAGGTACGGTGATGTTCTCACTTGTAACACCCCTCTTATGCATTAATAAATTAATCCTGGGGTGTTAACATTGTCATGTTAAGTGAAACTGTCATTTTGATTATTTTTTTTTTAGTTTTTTTTAAAAGCAGAATCAGGTTTAAAGTTTCTAAACAGAAAAATGCGCTATGGTGGAGAAATACGAAAGAAGACCGTGCAATTATCAATGAAAAAACCCTCTCTGAAATTAAACTCAGATTTAAAAACGTTTTAGTTTTATGCTAGTTAGATAGTTAACAGGTTGACATTGACATGATTTACGTTGCTTGCAGTTTGATCAAAATGTATTCAACTTAAAAATGAGTAAAACCCTAATATAAACACTATTTTATCAAATCAATCTGATTTGTTAAAAACATCGTACGACTTCAGATCACATGTAATAACAGGACAGGTTACCTTTGATGGGTCTGTACATAGACATATATTGACCCCGCTTTGAGTGCTGAATCCTATGTCAAAGTCGCCGCCATGTTGAATGTGGCAAAGTGGAGAATCGGAGTCAGTTATCAGACCATGAACCTGTGTAAATCTCAGGGCTTGTTGTTAGGCAGCTTCTCAAAGGCTGTCCTGTGATGTACGCCATGGTAGTTTGGTGTTTGATGCTATACCCGCATCATCAGAGCTACACTTGCTCACCCTAAAAAACTAATGATTTGATTCCACAAACTGAGGATGCATCCGTTTTGGCAGCCAAAACTGCCAAACTGAACACTCTTAATTTGCCAAGTGGCAACATACGAAAAAAGCTGCCCAAGAGTATTCAAAGCGTGGGTCTGACGGGCGGTCTGATGAGCTCCGAGCTGCCTCGGCCCTCTGCTGC